GCACCTCCCAAGCTGATGCTACTGCTCGTATCGCCGCCACTGGTGCTACTACATAAACAAAGAGCGCATTGTGATTCCCATGACGTTGCAAAACGACGCTGATGAGGACGGGAGGATGGAAATTTGATGATAATCTGCTGTGACATTATAGTACGTAGAAGTTGCAGATTGTGCACTGTGTAGATAGATCATAATTGCTGCTCGTGTTCTGTGTCCCTTCTTCTGGAGTAAAATTAATTAACCTGGGGTTAGCAATCTTAGAATCACCAAGCCAATTTTGTGACGTCCTTGCTCGACGCTTGTCAATGTCATGAGGTCGATCCATGAGTTTTCTGATTGGGACCTGTGCATGCTTTTGCCTGCTGCATGTCTTTTTACAGAGAGACTTAGACTGGAACCGACAGAAATGTTCCCAGACCCAGACTTATATGAAGGAACATCAAGGGAGAGTCTGGGCCTAGGCTGGATAACATGCAAGGAATGCTGAAGAGGGATGAAACTTTGACTGAAACTGTGAGGTTCAGTTGAAGAGTTCAAATTGATCGTCACAGGAAACCCATCTGGGCCCGAGGTGACTTGTAATTACAGAGAATCAGCATGGCATCCCTGTCGGGTACGCTCGGATTTTCTCGCGAGAGCTTCCGATCATCAAGGTACCATTTTTGGCCAGTGCCGTAAATCGGCTTATCAAGGCATCATCGGAATTTCTTGCAACCACCCCGGCCACAGTTTATCAGAATTTACCTTTTTTCGCCCCAACACTCTTCCGATACTGTCACTTTGGACGTATATAAAGAAGTGTATGAATTTGACTCGTTCAATTATCTCAAGATGCTTAATTTTCCTGCAGAACCTGACTCCCTCGATTTTGACATCATTGGTTCCACTGCTTTATCTACTCCTGCCTACTCTCCCGTCCCTAGTAGGACAGAGATTTCTCTTGATGCTAAACATCTTTCTCCTCATGGCCCTTCATGGGTCTATAAGACAAAACATATGTCAATTGATTTGGGAAGACGTTTATGGGGAACGAGCTCACCCGCCTATGGTCTTCATGATAAAATCGAGGGTTCAATAAAACTTTCTGGGCCTCATCCTGAACTCATAGAAGACATAAGTGTCACAGTGAGCTTTCATTGCTACTCGTTAATTTTTCTGTCCTCATACGCTTTTAGTTGGAAGGCAACTTGGTGACAACAGTACTCGGTGACGGTGGCATAGCCAGAAGCAATACATTGTTCATGCATCACGCAATATTCCTTCCCCTATCCTCTCATCCAGCTGCAGGAGACGAATATCCATTTTTTATCTCGATACCCTCGGAAATTACGCTTCAAGGGGTAACGGCACTGACCCCACCTTCTTTCTACCGTTTACACCTTGGTGTCACAGGAGAGATCTCATATTCATTGAAAGTTACAATGACCAGGCAAGCTAGTCGCATGTCTTTCAAACATGAGCCTACCGACACGTGAGTATGATCTAGGGTATCGTAAATGTTTGTTCTCTAACCTCCCGTCTCGTTATAGTCAAGCCATCTCCATTCTATATTTCCCTAAAACTCGCCCATCTGACCCTCCACTCGCGGATATTCCGAAACCCCCATCAGACCGTGATCCACACTTTGAATCTCCAAGCGTGAATATTTCAGAGCATGTCGACACCTTCCCACTATCTCCTCGATGGTCACCTGCATCGTCTCATGCCAAACATCCCTTGACAGATCTTGAAGCTTCCAAACACTCCATCTTCGTACGTCAATTTATTTCTCACAATTTTCATTTTCTCACTCAAACACGCGCCTTCTCCAAGTTCTCAATACCTGCGCCACAATCATTCGCTTCCGGAGAACCTATACCCTTCTTCCTGAGCCTCGTATTCCCCGATAGTCCCGCCCAAGCCGCATTGTATACCAAAACCATCACGGTCACACTCATGAAGCAACTCACTGTCCGTTCTGCCAAATCACCCTTACGGAAACTATTTTCCCGGTCTAAAAGTCGGGTTTCGTCTCCGAAATCTTCCAAAAGCTCAACACCTCTCCACTCACGGAGTGCTTCCCCTGTTCCTTCCGAGGACGACAGCGATGACGCTGGCTCGCACTCCGACTCTAGTTCATTGTCTACCGCGAATCTTGATGCCTATGGTCCTCCCGTCGTCCGACGATGGAAGTTGACCAGCGGTCATCTAGAGACACGTAGCGAGTATTCAGAGGGTGTATATCTGCTCCGAGGATGGATATCCGCCGGCGAGTTGGGTAGAGGGTGCTCATGGACGGTCGGACAGATAGCCCGGTTGCAGTACTTTCTCGTGGTTGAGATTGCCTCGCCCGCCTGGATGGAAGATCATATTCCTTCGTTCCATTTGGAAAAGGAGATAGAGATTACGACAGATTGTTGGGAGACAATGAACCGGGAATTACAGTCAATGGGTGGCGTACCCACCCCAGCGTTGGGCCTTGAACGTTGTTTATTGGAAAGGGAGTCTGATTATTATGAAGTCATATAATGTCAACTATGTTATTTTGAAATCCTTAAAAAACGATTGTCCATCATAGGTTCGGACACTGATGAAATTGACTTGGATGCCTGCAGTGCTACATCCTACTGACGAGGACCAGATTGAGAAAGTCGTCGACTAAACTGTCTGTATATTCACCGCTTATCTTGCACTTTATGTCGATTTGCACGAGGGAGCCAACAGAGAGTATACTCTCCTTCAACCTTCCCTCAATTTAAGTTCTTCTGAAAAGGCTTCGAGGACAGACATGAATTATAGCAGGCGATCCCGTTAGACCACTCCGGCAAAGTTACGCTACAACTCAGACCTTCCTCAAATTTCAACTTCAGCCAGGCTTCAACTCCTCCTCACTCAGAAAAGCTCAGATAGACCCGTATTCAAGGTACTCTATACATTTTTCAAGCGATTTAAAATTGCAATCTTTCAGTGGCTTGTACTTTACGGCTTCCTTCTTTTACCTGTTACGCGAGAGTCATAATCTCTACTCGAATAGAACTGACGGTATACTTCTGACTTCTGAGTTGCTGAGCAAGAGTCAGGAGCAGTCAGGAGTAGCTAGTGATGTAGTGATGAGGTATATGGATTGGAACTCTTCCTCGACAGTGCATGTTTCATTTTTTCGAACCAACAACGTCGTTTCCGGAGAAAATTTGCGCTTCACGCTAAATTCAACATCAACTCCCAAAGAGCGTTCGACTGTACTATCGCAATCTTTTTCTGACTTTCTATGCATGGGTCGTCATCGTGTAGACTTTAAAGTGAGGCCGATGTTCAATGTCACTCGAAGACTGAACAGTGCCCCTTTTTTACTTGCATCTCAAATGAAACACAAAGACTAAGATTATGACTATGACTTAATTTTGAATCGGGAGGTCCAACCCTCTGGCTATAAATGCGCTGCATTTCTCGTATTCGAAATAACCCATACACAATAAGCACTTCGACCTATTTGCATCCATCACACAAACTCCTACAATTCGCTTTGACATGATGCGATCTTGCGCTTTAATCACTATGCTCTTCACATCAGCATTATCCAGATATCTATCTGTTTCCGATCAACGCGATTCTACAGAGGCGATCGTTGCATCACTTTCTGCCTCCAACCACCACGGGGCGCCTTTTCCGCCTGGGTCTTCTGGTTCAAGCGCTGGGTGGTATTACGGTGACGACCCTTCTTCATCCTCAGTAGATGGTCTTCCGTGGTTAGGAGACAAGGTATGCCAAATCTGATCCCTTATGCATCCTTTTCCTGAGATCTTTGCCTCTGACAGGATCTTTGCGCGGTTTTAAAGAAAATCCCTGATGCAATTCACTGCCCCGTCACCAAATCAAAACCTACCAAAACCTACGGCAGACGATCAGCTGCCTCTACGCCTACCGTTTCAGCAACTCCTACACCGTCATATGTCACGGTATTCAGCGGTCTCGATGCATCCATCGAAGGCTCTGGTTATATAACATATGGATTAGTTGATACCAACGCTGGTATGAATGTTTATCAATTTATTTTAGTCTCCCTAATTTTTTGAAATTTTAGATTGCGAGGCGTTCTGCAACACCGTGTCAAATTGTATTTTCCTAAATTGTACGTTTGCCCCGTTTCGTATTATTCATATATTTACTCGTCAATTCAATCAGCGTACTACGATGTGAATGGAAAGGTAATACGAACACTTCACGTGATACTACGAATCTTACATGCTCTTATTTAGGATGGTAGTCCCAAGCTTACTTGTTCCTTATATTCGGTCGTACACACTGCAGCTGACGCAACGAATAAAGGCGGTCAGACAGAGCCTAATGGATTCGTTGACTACATTTCAGATAGTGCCGGTTATGCACTGAGCACTTCATCATAAAGACACAATTCTTCCAATATCTACTATATGCATCCGCAGTTGAAATCTGACATGTCAATGGACATTTTCGTACTAATATATTTCTTTCACTCAATTACATTACCAGATTACGATTTTCAGGGAGCTAGCAGGCCATACGCCATTTAGTTCAACAACCACAGCCAGACCCAATCTATGTACATTTGTCAATATATCACCAAAGGGACATGTCTTGGGAGAAGTAAACTCGAGCCAGTAGCTTCGGATGTTGACACTTTGGAAACTGGCGTCCAAAGGTGTCAGCGAAGCGAAGTGATTCCGCATATCGCTTCTCAGCAGCGGACTGGCTCGAGTCTATGGGAGAAGAAAGTTGTCATTTTGTGCTGGCAATTTTCAGGATGAACACCCATCCTATACTGTGGATGTCAACAAATGCATGTTTTGGGAAGAAATTTGCAGAAGTATGCAATAATAACACATTGCTGTGTTCAAAGTTTCCCCTGGAAATTCAATGCAACTGATAAGAAGGGAGAAGCATTAATGCAGTGAATTTCTAGAGGAACCTTTGAACACGGCAATGTGTTGTTTTGTTGGTTGTTGTCCCCACAACACAGTTCATGAAAAAGGGGGAACCTTAATAGCCCACCGCGAGGGTCGAACTCGCAGCCTTCAGATGACCCTTGGACCAATTGTAAAAGTCTGACGCTCTATCCGATTGAGCTAGGCGGGCCTTATCATTAGTGCGGATATTCAATTCTTAAGAATTCGTCAACAAGACAGTGATTATATATACTGTTATAAGTACACTCTTTTCCTACAGTCACCTACTCCTCCCACCCCCCAAGTCCCAGCTCCCTATCTCTCTTTGCCCTCTTCATCATCTTCCTCATATCCTCTGTCATCCCCAACCACTCCCCCATCCCACCAACCCTCTCCACAAGCTCCTCCTCCCACCTCTCTTCCATTTCTTCCCTCTCCTCTTTATCCTTTTTTTCCCACTCAATTTCCTTCCTTGTCTTCTTTCGTGAAGGCGGAGCAGGAGGAAGTGGCGGAGGTGTACGCCTGTTGGGGTGTAGAGGTGCAATCCGAGAAAGGAACGAACGAGAGGACTTGAGGTAGGGAGAGTATGCAGTTAGGCTCCCGACTGCGCCGTTAGTAGTAGTGGGCGTAGTGTTTCCTCCACCGCTCCTATTACCCCCTCTAGGTATCGGACTCTTAAATTGAGAATTCGGCATAGAGTTGACTCGTCGAATGAGATCAGACATTGGCGTTGACTTGCGTGCGGATTTGGGTGCGATGGTGTACCGAGAAGTTAATGAAGGGTATTTGAGATGCTTTTGATCTGGAGCAGGTGTATCAAGTGTCGCTTGTATCGAAGAGCTGTTTGCCATGTACGGTCGAGAAATAGGCGTCTGTGGTATATTATCAGGTCGAGAAAGTAATATGTTCTCCTGCAGCTTCAATCAGTATACGCTACGGGACCATCGTGAAAGAAAAACTCGCTTTCAGGGATCCAATGCCATCAGTAGCTGTAACGTGGCCTTCCTCTTCTCCACTGACCACTCTCTTCTTGGCGTTTGATTTCGGCTTCGTATTTGACTTCGTTGTTATGATAGAAACCGAGTCAAGTACATCCCTCCCTCGATTCTCCATATACATCCCTGAGACCGCATCTTCATCTTCATCTTCAGACATTACCACCCTCCCTTTCTTCCCTTTCTTGCCCTTCTTCAAACTCGATTTACTCGAAGTCGACTGGCCCATATTGACGTCTAGGTCCAGGCTCCCACTCAAGTCGACTACGCCGTCAGCCGCACCGAATGCGTCACGGGCCTCGTCGTCACTCTTACGCATCTTCTTCCACGTACCCTGTCTTGGGACCTCGTTCACATCATCCAAGTCATCTCCCTGTCCATCAGAGGCATCTCGAGCTCGTTTGCTTCCAGGTGAACTACGCTGAGGCTGAGCATAAGGTTGAGGTGTAGGCGAAAAGGCGGCTGAAGTGTTCCGAGGAGGAATCGTTATCGTAGACATGAGCATTTCGTCGATGTCTTCGTCATCCTCGATGAATTCGCGACTTTTTGACACAGCTTGAACCTCCTTCTCTCTTCCTTTTCCTTTAGCCTTGGTAGAGGACCTGGTAGACTTGCCCTTGTCTTTCGACGTCGCCGTTTTATCCTATGAGAAGTAATGAGAATCAACAAATGAGCATCTATGAAAGTACCCACCTTGTCGTTCGCCTTCGATTTTGATTTCTTCCCTTTACCTTTCGGCTCAGCACCAGTCCAGTCTTCGCCGTCCATCATGTACTCGTCATCATCATCATTCACTTTCTTCTTCTTCGTCCGTGATTTCTTCGCTTCGGGTTGCACAACAGGAGAAGGAACAGGAGGAGGAGGCATCAAGACAGAATCTATGACTCTTGTCGTGTGAATTTCTCTTGAGTTGGTGTTATTGGTATTGTTGTTAGGAATGTTAAGATCGTTGTCTAGCGGGAACGGAGTTGAGGAAGGGTCTGCAAAGAACGGCGCAGGTGTAGGTGGAATGTTCGGACCTGAAAGATCTCTGTGAGCTCGAAGGTTGAATGACTCTGAGACGGCGGAAGTAGAAGCAGATGAAGGAGGATTGGGCAGAGTTTCGATTGCAGGGATATCAAAGTCTTCTGAAGGAGTAGACTGTGGCGGATCAGATGGGGGTAGCATTATTAAAGAAGCTCGAATGCCATTCCGAGCAAGAGTAGGGGAAGTGGCAACGACGGGTAAAGAATATGATGAGTTTGGATCAGGATCTGAAGAATCGTATCGCATATGATTACTTGTTGTAGCAGCGGTGGTCAGAGAAGAAGACTTTTTCGTTGCATTCTTCGATTTCTTGGGTCTCTTTGCAGGCAAAGCTAGTTCATCGTCGGAAGATATTTCGAGAAAATCTAATTGTACAGGTGCGGCTGAGGAACTGCTTGTATGATTTCCATCCTTGTTCCTTTTCCGCATCTTGGCACGATCAGCAATGCTCAGTGCCATATCGAACATCTCAATATGACTGGTATTGCCAGTAGGAGCGTTGTTGGAGTTATTTCCTGAGGATATGGCGCTTGTATGGCCGATATTTCTCGTGAGAGGCTTTGGCTTGGGCCGAGGTCGCGTAGTAGTAGCGGTAGTGGTGGTGGTGATGATAGTGGATGTGGCATGACCACGCGAAGCAGCTGAAGAAAAGTTGGAGATAGAATCAATAGCAGTAGCTTTGCTGGTAGAAAATTCAGAAATTGCCGACACATTTGCCGAAGTCGATGCAGCAGAGGGAGTTGTGGTTTTTAGACCAACAACGGGTGCTAACAAATATGAGAAGAATAAGTATCTGAGCTGGGAGATTCCATATAATATCGCACCAGGAGCAATTGGACCGAATAGCTCATCTTCACCCTCACTGTCTGCTATGATCTCGTCGTACATCCTTGGAGAGCCGAAATTGAGACGATCAATCACCGCGTCAAGTCGCGAGTCTATTCACGTGTCTGCGCGGAACGTGCAATTTGAATGACTAATCAAAAGTGTTTACCTCTTACTTCCGAGTTCCGAATCCGACTATTTCCGACCTTGATTCTGGCTATTGGTTGACGCTATGTATGCTCGATGTAAATTGTACCCATGAACATCGGCTAGGCAGTCTGGTCCCTCCCAGTGCTTCCGTGCCTCCCGGAAATTTGCCGGAGAAGTCTGAGGACAGCTGAGTACAGAGCTCCGAATATGTATTCCCTTCTCGTCTTCTCGGATCTGGCCACGAAGATAGTCCGCCGTGTTCGCTGTAGTCTTTCGCCAGCTGAATGGCTGGGCTCATCCAAGTACAGGAGTCAGACTTATACATAGGCCATGCTTTCTGTTCTTTCGGATCACACAAACATGCGTACCTGGACTGCATGCTGGTTAAATCGTGTCGGGGTTCTCCAAAAAGTCCGCAGTGTCCAATCTCTTCTTCCACTTCATTCCTGTACTTTCCAGTTCTATCTGAACAATGGCACACCCGCACAACTCGGTCGATGAGCCAAGAACAAGCGATCGTTGTGCGTACCCAGATCGACAGTCTAACTTTCATAGCTTACTTCCCCCATGGACTGCAGTCAATGCATCCGATGCTGATGTTCTCATACGATCCTCCGATAATGTCGACTTTTTCCTACACAAGAAAAATCTTGAATGTGCTACGGGAGGTTTCCCTCCTGCGGAGACACCCTCAGATCTCAACGAAGTTGTACGACTCTCCGAAACAGCAAACATATTAGAAATGCTGTTCACATGTATCTATCCTTGCCCATTTCCTTCATTAGAGGAACTGGACTTCGATACGTTCATGCTGCTCGTAGAAGCGGCCGAAAAATATCAGTTCTTTGGTATGATTTGTGCGTGTAGGCTTCATATGAAGTACGTTGTATCTTCTATTGTTGGGTTCAAAAAGAAACATTTAATCTGAATCCTCGTCAGAGAAATCTTGTATCCTACAGATCCTGACTTCAATAGCAACTTCACCTTGAAGCAGGACCTGCACATCAAAAGGATACAACTTTTACAATTTGCCATCAAGCATGACGTTCGAGATCTTATTGAAGAACTTCGAGCAATTCTGGTGAACGTTTCGTTATCGGATTTGGTGGAAATTCTCCCACCTCATATCTACATGCCTTGGGTAAATACACAGTCTGCTGCGGAGTGAACGAAGTTTGACGATATTGCATTCCAGAGCCTCTACAGGGAACAAAAATTACTGGAGAGACTTAAAGGCAATGAAGAATTGTCTGTCTCGAAGCCAAAGAGACCGGAGATTCTTAATCTCAAACGTCGGAACCAGGTTATCATGATCAATTTTTGACATTCTTCTTTTGCATATCAGTGGTACATGTGTATATATAGATCGATGTAATATACAGTTAGGCAGAAACGGTGTCGGAAACGAGATGAATGAGAAAAGACAGACACGATCTGTGAGACCGTCCCGGCTTAAGAGTGCAAATCCACCTGCAAGCCAGCCTCTTCAAGGGGAGAAAGATGAGTATGGATGAAATGGTCAACAATCAGATAAGAGTGTTGGTGATTCAACACTAGGGTCAATGCCTGCAAACCAGAAATGCCTATCGGGTTTCCTTCTGAAGACCGAAGTATGGCGCATCGAGACTCGATCATCTCGCAAATGCTTGGACACAGCGAGGCCCGAGTGATTTCATACGGTCGGAATTTACAACCGAGTTCCAATGAGGAGAGATGGGGTGCAATGCCTCCCTGGTCGTTCAATTTGAGATGTTCCGTGAAGTCTCTTAGGACCTCGACAGATGAAATGTCAACACTCAAGGTGACAAGGGTAGGATGTAGAGCGATGAAATCAAGCAGCGCCTGCTTGAGAGGACTAGACGTCATACGCACTCGTAACGTCTGAAGTCTGCATCGTGAATCAGCAAGCATTGCAAAGAAAGGTCCATCAATGGATTGTCGGCTAAAATCTATTTGCAACTGCGTCAAAGATGGTAGACGAAGGAGGCTCCAGGCCCGCGAAGATAACTGCGTATTAGGAATTTGCAGCTTCAAGAGGGATGAATAGTGGAGGTCTCCTTGATCTATCTCCAGCGACTCCTCATCCGCATCCTCAGCGAGCTCACGATTGAGCTTGACATATTCAACGGAGACACTCTGCAGTGCAGGTAATCGACGGACTAGTTGTGGGATAGATTCTCCGAACAGAAAAGTG